TGTTTCCATGGTGAACAACGGCAACATGACAACGTTTTCATTGGTCCCTCTTCTTTAGAGAAGACCAGGAAATGATGGATACACGGATCGTGTTCAAATCAATAGGCACGCAATGACTCTAAATAATAATGATCACGCCACCAAACACACATTCAGACTAAAGGAACCAGCCTGTTTGGAAAATGTGAGAAGTAGAAAGTACAGGTATTTGAGTTCAACATGTAAGAAGTAGAAAGTACAGGTATTTGTGTTCAACATGTAAGAAGTAGAAAGTACAGGTATTTGTGTTCAACATGTAAGAAGTAGAAAGTACAGGTATTTGAGTTCAAAATGTAAGAAGTAGAAAGTACAGGTATTTGTGTTCAACATGTAAGAAGTAGAAAGTACAGGTATTTGAGTTAAAAATGTAAGAAGTAGAAAGTACAGGTATTTGTGTTCAACATGTGAGAAGTAGAAAGTACAGGTATTTGCGTTCAAAATGTAAGAAGTAAAAGTAAAAAGTCGTCAGAAAAAAAGAGTAGTGGAGTAACGTACTGATACAAGAGAAATGTACTTAAGTACAGTAACAAAGTATTTGTACTCCATAACTTCCCACATCTGGCAATATCCAACAATAACATCACACTTCAAGGTCTATTTCTTCTTCTATTCACTCCTTGCAACCTTATTCCTCTCCTATGTACGCACCACTATAGATTAAAGCAAATTCCTTATGTGTGTTAACGCCTACGAGGCAACACACCTGATTATGATCAAAGTTGACCTGGTCCAAGTTTGTGACAGACCTTAGATTTACCTAAAGAAAGGTGCTATTTTGACTATTGATTATCAATCTCTCGCTTAAGGGAGTTTTTTGTAGTATTTGAATAACTTTTTTAAACTTTCATTTTGCAATATCATTCATATCTTGTTTAACTTTCTTATCAATTGAAGGATGTCTTTTATAGTACCTTGCAAAAGTATCAGAAATGATTTGTCATGTATGGAATAAATAGAGGATATCTTACCAGTCCCTTGTTCTTCTCCTGTCCTCCACAGCGCATCACCTCAGGGAAGTCCACCAGGGTCCCGGCCATGTAGTGACCCTTTACCTTCTCATGGAGCTCATGGTACTTGGCCTAGAAAAAAGTCCAGAATAATGAAAGTCAGTTTTCAGTCGACCTACTATAAGAAGAAAACATGATGCCCTTGTGCTTTTACATTTAGCAATGAACACCCTAAAGGAGTCACTTACGTCACTGATGATATCCCTGCCCTTCTTTCCGATGAGAAGTGGGATGTATTTTTCGTCCAGCTTGTAGCCAGTAGCCTTAGACTCGTCCCATTGATGTTTGTACGTTTTCTGAAGTGACCCAAAGTAGACACAGAGTTAAAGGCAAGTCTGATGTTACCAACAAATATCATACATTTATGAAATAATCTTAGGATATTGCATTACCTCGCTGATGTTCTTGCCCACTTCCCTGCTGTGTGCCAGTTGAGGAGTGTCGTCCGAACCAATATAGTGACCCTTTTCTGCGTTGAAGGTCTCTTTGTACTTCAGCTATAGTGGGAAGCAAACAACGTTATTCATCGTTTTTACTTTGCTTCTTGAAATTAAGAAGTCAAACTTCTTTTTTTTACATACATCACTGAGGTTAGCGGCGTTAACTCTCGCCAAGATGAGCTCAGGACGGTCCACGACGTGGGTGAATTTTGCGAAGCCATCCTTTGCGCCCTGCTTGTAGTGTCTCTGCAAGGTAAAAAAACAACATTGAGGTGAGTCACAATGAACTGAAAACAGAAAAATGGGCAAAAAGTGCTGAAAGAAAACAGCGGTGTGATTACGGTCAACATACCTCGTTGAGAATCGACTGAGCATTCCTGGCTTTGACGTGGTGGACGGACTCAGCCGGCATCCAGCCGCAGCCTCGGAGCCATTCCATGTCAGCCTTATACACACACTGAAGACAGAAAGCAAGACAAATGTTAAACATTAATCATACCACCTGGTGGGAAAATACTGAATGTCCTCTTCCAGTATCAGAGTAACATGATAACAAAGGTATCCCAACTGTAGCTGAGTACATGACAGCATGTGTGATTACCTAGAAGAGCATCAGGACTGTTTGAGGCATATGATAGCTATGTGATTAACATGATGATTCAGCCTCTATGGAGAGAGACATATGACAAGCATGCTCATTTCTGACGTGGAGCTAATCTGAAGTAAAAATTGAATTTTTAGGTTTTGAGAAAAAAGTCAGAATTTTGAGAAAGAAAACTGAATTTTTAGATTTGGAGAAAAAAAAGTCAGATTTTTGAGGGGGAAAAAATCTGAATTTTGATATTTTGAGAAAAATTCAGAATTTTGAGAGAAAGTTAAGATTTTGAGAAAAAATCAGATGTTTTAGATTTTGAGAGAAAGTCAGAATTTTGAGATTTTCTGAAAAAAAACAAAAAAAACTTTCTACAGAATTTTGAGAAAAAGTCAGAATTTTCAGATTTTGAGAAAAAAGCCAACATTTTGAGAAAGGACTCAGTATTTTGTACATGACGGGATGTATGATTACCTAGAAGAGCATCAGGACTGTTTTAGGCATATGATAGCTATGTTATTAACATGATTATTCAGCCTCTATGACAAGCATGCTCATTTCTGAC